ATTTGTATATTTGTATTTGTATATTTTATGCACCAATTGCACCAGGACACATTCCTCGTAGGTGTAAAAACCTACTTGGCAATAAACATAATTCTGATTCTGATTCTGATGCTGTTTACTATGCTGTTAAATAGGTTCTAGCTGGCTAGTTAGCTGGCTGTTTGCCTGTGAGAGAGCTACGGAATTTTTTTCTGTTGGGGCATCCTGATAGCTCATCTGGTAGCGCTGGCACCCCATGTACCAAGGTTGAGTCCTTGCTGCAGCAGCCTAGGGTTTGAATCCAACCTGTGGCCCTTTGCTGCATGTCAACCCCTCTCTCTGTCCCCCCTTCCTGTCACCATTGATTAAAGGCAATAAAAGCCCCCCCCCCAAAGAAATACTAATATTAAAATATATATTTAAAAAAGAATTAATTCTGTTGCCCTGTTGCCCATGCTGCCTCGTTCCACAGGCACACTAGCTGCTTTTTCCCTGGCCCTCTCTGCCAAGGCTTTTTTGAAGTGACCGGGCCTGCAGCGATGCACCTCCTTGTGATTTGCCACTTAGGCTCCTGGCTGTGTCAAAAGCATAGTTTACAAGATGTAGGAAGAAAAAGTCAGTTACAGCCTTTCTGACCCTCAGGAATAAAAACATGGAGAATTTCATGGTGTGTGGAAACAGACAAAAAGAGAGGGAACCAGAGAGTTTTGAAGATGTAGCGAGGCTATGAAAGAAAACAAAGAGAGACACTGGGGTTGTGTGAGTGTATGTGTGTCCCATGTCATCTAAAAGCACCAATGTCAACCCAGTTGTTGAGGACATTGTGCAAATCTGAACGCTTGCATTGTCATTCTGCTTCTGGGCTCTGCTTGTTATTGGGTGAATCTTCACCAAAAAAAAGGTCAAAAATCTTTTCTTTTTTTCCCACCACCACTCTTCAAGGGCCTGCAGCTCCGACTATTTTTGGACTATAGCTTTGTCTTGGCAAGTGCCCAAAAGAAGAAGGTGACCTTCCGATAAGAACAAACTACACAATGATGTGGTGGCAAATCTGAGCGGTGAAGACAGGCAATACTGTAACTTCAATCAGGTTTAATGCTGCCGAAGTATCCTTGAGCAAGATGCTGTTACCCTAAACTGCTCATTGACTGTAAGCTAAATGCCTGTGTTATAGAAGGCCTTGTGAATTAATTAACGCCATTGTTCTTTTGTGTTTCGATTCGTTATTGTGGCTCAGATCTGGGTGCTTAATATTGGGTGCATTTTATTGGAGGTGGATGAACACTGGAATAACAAGAGAGACATGATATTCTCAACGATATATTTATGATTTTTAAAGCAGCAAACTTGAAGACTGCAATTCTCCAACCTCACAACCAGCAGCAAGGCTTTGGTTCACTACTGGACTATTTAAATCCACCGTATGGAGGCTTTCATTCAAGCTAAGCTAACCTTCAACAAGAGCACAGTCTTCAATCAGGGAAATTATCTGCTGTACTCTTAGATTTAAATGGTCTTTTAAGGCATGATTGGTCTACTTTGCATTTATTAGGCGGTAGCATTCAGCAGATAGTCAAGGTCAATGCCAATTCCAAAAACCCACAACACTTTATCACCTTGATATGGCAGTAAGGCTGTTGAACTGATATCAGAGAGAACATTTTCTTTTACAAAACAACGAAGGTTGCAGCTCCAGTATGAATGACATTGGGTAACATTTCTGTCATCATCAACATCATACCAGGTCCATTGTAAAGTTTCATAAACAGTCACATTCATAAATCAAATTTATTTAAAAATGTCCATTACAGAAAACAAAACAGTGTAGTCATATTTTGTTGACCTTTGAGTATGTTTTATGCAAAAAAGAGAAATTGATTTGTCCTCATTGAAGAACACTGGCCAAGTTTTTATTAGGTATTGTTGTAAATCTTGAGTGAGGTCTTTGGAAGCTCTTTGGAGGTCAGATATCTTTATGAAGCTCTATAAAGCTGTGGCAGCGCTGCGATTCATAGTAGTAAAAACAGTTCTGCCAACATCAGCACGCAAAAGATCAAATGTGTGTGTTCATGTGTGGCTCATCCTTGCCTCCATGGATATCAGAGCAAATACTGCTGAGAAGCAAATAGCTGACCAGCGGTTTCAAAGCTATTCTGTAACATTTATGTTTATCCACTGGTATATGTTTTTTTTCAATAGCACGGCTTCATCATAAGGCTCTCTCATCGGTGTGGCAATACAGTCATTATAATTAGGTAAATTCAAAGAGTAGAAGGGAGTTTTTTTGTACATAACGGTGGCATAAAACAGATTAATATTGACACAAATTGAGTAGTAACGGTTAAGATTTTTAAGGATAACTTGCCAAACCCATATTGGATTTTTTCCCATCGGTTTGATATGGCTTTGATGGGAATGTGCCAGTTTGTGTTACATGCCTGTCTCTGAACAAGTCCTCAGCAGCCAGGTAGGAAAACAAAGGGTACTGTTTCAAAATAACTATACTGTAGGAGAGTCAGGGCCATGACAATGGTCTGGTAAAACGTATTCATTTCATTGCAGAGCATTAAATCTCTTCTTTGGTGATCCAGTCAGCATTGTTGCTCCTCCATGCAGCTGAAAATATCTAAATCAGGACATGTCTCAAATGACAAAGGAGCTACAGTTGGAGGTGGATAGGATGGGGGGAGAGTAGTAGGGCTGCCCAACTAATCACAAATATTCCAATGATGAAGATGTAGAAATGAACACAAAAAAAAGTAGGAATATGTCATTTTAGTTTAAATTGTGCAACCCTGGTGACTCTGGACAGTGAAGCATGATGAGACAGGGGAAGGACTGCACTGTTAAGTCCAGCGAGCAGACTTTACCTGAAGGGTCAGCACTATGTTCTCTGGCTGAGGGGGGCCAGAGCAGATCAGATGAAGAGGGCATGCAGAAGACAGAGGCGACGCAGCGTCAAAGAAAGAGCAAAGCAACAAAACAAAGACATGTGGATGAAATAGAACAACAAAAAGAGAAATCAAAGAATTCAAAACTGGCATGCATATCCACATCACTGCATATTGTAACACTGCACAAATTCTCTCATAATTGAAAGGAAGGTACAGAGTGAACTCTCACTGTATTTCTTTTAGATCTCAGGGACTGTCAAAGAGCTTAAAAAACATCTTTCGTTATCAAAGTGGTTCCGCATAAAAACTCAAATGATGTATCTCTCTATATATTCACAGGTTGTGCCAGAAGCAATTACCATTTTCTTCTGGTGTGCCAGTAAAAAGATGGCCTTGCCTTGGCTTGTAAAAAGCTATTAACGCCTTGCTTCAGAGAAGTCCGGGACTACAGAGCATCTCAGAGCTACATTTCTTCTGTAAATTATATCATAAATTGCTGCATCCAATCAGAAAAACAAATAAGGTAAAGAAATAGGCAGAGCAAAACAATCATTTTAACACACACATACACACACACACAAGGTTACCTTTTGATATTCCGTCTGAATGGCTCCAAACTTGTCCTTTGCCAGTTTGACAATAAGATCTGCAACAACACAGAGAAAACAAACACAACATGAAGAGATGTGTTGTTGTTTTTCTATATCCAACCATAATTGCATTGTATATATTTTAGTATGACAGGCACAAAGAGACCAAAATTAAAGTGTCAAACACCTTAATGGTGCGCATACATCTTATGACTTTATTTTATATCCGAATTTATGGTCATTTTCAACTTTAATACTATGGACTTGGAATGAAAACTTTCCTCAGAAAGATGCAGGAAACTGCAGAATATAGTTAATGTGAGAAATTATTACTGTCAAGCTGAAGAAGCAAGTTGACATCTTTGACAAGATGGTGTCAGGAAATCCTGAGCCAAACTCTGACACTGCAGTGTCCCTTCATCCCCAACTCTTCCCTCTGGGTTTAGACCGGGGCAACTCTGACAGGGTGAGGAACTCTTATTTTATTTATTTCTGTTAGACTCCATGTTAGGATCCTGTTGGTGATATTCTGGTTACTTCAGGGTCTCAGGAAAACAGGGATTCTGAATGCAAAAATCTCTATAATTTTGCCTTTTGTGTGTTTTCAGATAGTCATGAAACCCTAATACTTAAAATGATCAAACAACTTTTTTTTTAGGCACATGGGAAAATCATGACTTGTCACAACAAAGGTGAAACATTTATAATGGATACTGACCTAATAATTTCAATGTTCAGATGAGAAAAACACTTTGAGTCAGTCCACTTAAAAAAATGGAAATCATGGCAACATCGCAAAACAACCCAAACAACTCTTCTATGAAATACTGTATGTCTGTGTTCCCTTTCATATCTACACCTGGAGCAGCGCTGGCTGTGACTCATCATATAATGATGACAGAGACAGCAAGTCTTCTCAGAGGCAGTTGGTTTCCAAAAATAAGATGCAAACGACACAAGAGCTTTACGTTCTTCTGCAATGCAGTGTTTCTTTCTTCTGAAGGAAGAATATACCCTACAGATGAATTGTTGACAAGAATGGTTTTAATTTATCACAAAACATGATGATTATGATCCCTGCCTAATATAAAGCATGAGATTTGTATTACTAGTAGGGTGCTCCAGGCTTATATTTCACCTAGTTATTACGGCTGTTTAGGAAGAGAGGAGCTTATCTTTTTAGTACTCGTGTCTAATTGCCTTTATTTAAACATTTATTAATGCAGGATTATATGACTGAGAGCCCGTTTTATTTATCCGCCAGTCTTCCTCACACTTGTATAGTTCTGTGGTACAACCACAGGTCTGTACTGGTTGTTCCAGAGCTCGAACATGTGTGGCTTGAGTGCCTTGCTTAAGGGCAGTTTGATAGTTGTTACAGTAAGCGAACAGCTAATGTTTGTGAGACTGTTTTCCTGCCAGAATGTTCCCACCGAGTTTGGGAAAGACAAGTCTACTTTATAGCAGTGGCGGCTTCAGAGATTTTCTGTTGCAGGTGCTATGGGGATGCTC